GAGCCCCACATCGAGCCCTGCATCGGGCTCCCTGCTTGGCAGGGAGCCTGCTTCTCCCTCTGACCCTCCCCCCTCTCATGTGCTCTCTGTTTCTCTCATTCTCTCTGTCTCAAATAAATAAATAAAATCTTCAAAAAAAAAAAAAAAGTTAAGTATCTTCTTATGCTTTTCAATCATTTTTCATTATCTCTATATACATTTATAATAAATGTATATAAATTGTCACATGCTAACTTGTGCTTTGGAATTCAAGATTTCAGATGTTAGAAACGTATTATAGCACATATAGCATATACATTTAACCCCCCAGTGGGGTTCTAAGGCAGTATCCCAAAATAAAACACATTAATATTCCTGCAACATATAAACGTTCACTTTAATGCGATAAATAAATACTACACAAAAAAGCTTAATGACAATACAGGTCTGGTTCTGCTGCTGAATGAATTCAAATCAGGTCAGGTTTTGCCTGCTGAATGTGTTATCAAAAAACATTTGTTTTGGGCGCCTGGGTGGCTCAGATGGTTAAGCGTCTGCCTTCGGCTCAGGTCATGATCTCAGGGTCCTGGGATCAAGTCCTGCATCGGGTTCCCTGCTCAGTGCAGAGCCTGCTTCTCCCTCTCCCTCTGCCACTCCCTCTGCTTGTGCTCTTCTGTCTATCTCTCTGTCAAATAAATAAATAAAAAAAAAATCTTAAAAAAAACATTTGTTTTTCAGAGGTTTTGCTTTTTTCAACTGAATTGAGCCTTATAATTTCAATTAACACTCAATGAGTTCCTAAAGTCTGCAAAATACTGTTTTAGAACTACTGAGAATGGGGGAGTGGCAAATGAGACTTGGGAGATGAAGATATTCTAAAGCTTGAAACCTACAACACAATAATCCATACTCAAAAGCATGATCACTTGCATTAAACTGGCCAAATGCTTAAATGAGAATAGCTTTACTAAACCTCATATTCAGCAGACTTTCCTAGATCTGGAATGATATCAAGTTGCCAGAGTGTATGGAAACTAGCTATATAAAATGCCAGGTCAATATTTCAAAGCACACTGAACTACCAAAAATTCCATTGTGGATTCTACAATTTCAACTAAGTACGATTGGTGTCTATTAGTAGGAGACTAAATCAGGAGATTGAATCAGAAACAACTCATAATCTGACCTTAGATGTATATTTAATGAGTATGAGATTTCCCTTTCCAGTATACATAATATTCCCAGAAAAAAGTTAGCCCATACCTGTAATTAATGGTAAATTAAAAAGTAGTTTAATATATAATAAAGGCCATATATGAAAACCCCACAGCTAAGATACTCAATGTTAAAAAAACTGAGAGCTTTTCCTCCAAGATCAGGAACAAGACAAAGATGCTACTCTTATTATAACTTTTATTCAACACAGTACTGGATGTCCTAGCCACACCAATCGACAAGAAAAAGAAAGAAGCACCACCCATATTTGTAAAGAAGAACTTAAACTGTCACTGGCAGATGACAGGATATTATACACAGAAAACCTTAAAGACTTGACCAAAAAACTACTAGAAGTAATAAACGAATTCAGTAAATTTGCAAGACACAAAATTAATACCTAGAAATTGGTAGTGTTTCTATAAACTAATAACAAAGTAGCAGAAAGAGAAATTAAGAAAATAATTCCACTTACTCTTGTCCCAAAAAGAATAAAATACCTAGGAATAAACTTAACCAAAAAGGTGAAAGACCTTTACTCTGAAAACTATGAAACAATGATAAAAGAAACTAAAGACAACACAAACAAATGGTAAGATATTCCATGCTCGTGGACTGGAAGAACTAATATTGTTAAAATATCCATACTACCCAAAGCAACCTACAGATTTAATGCAATCCCTATCAAAATACCAACAGCATTTTTCACAGAACTATAATAAATAATCCTAAAATTTGTATGGAACCACGAAAAAGACCCTGAATAGCCAAAGCAATCTTGAGAAAAAACAACAAAGCTGGAGGTATCACAATTCCAGATTTCAAGTTATACTATAAAGCTGTAGTAATCAAAACAGTATGGTACTGGCACAAAGACAGACACATAGATCAAGGGAACAGAATAGAGAGCCCAGAAATAAACCTACACTTGTATGGTCAATTAATCTATGATAAAGGAGGCAAGAATATACAATGGGGAAAAGACAGTCTCTTCAATATATGATGCTGGGAAAACGGGACAGCTACACGTAGAAGAATGAAAATGGACCACTTTCTTAAACCATACACAAAAACAAACTAAAATAGGGGCACCTGGGTGGCTCAGTTGGTTAAGCATCCAACTCTTGATTTCAGCTCAGGTCATTATCTCCAGGTCCTGAGATCGGGCCCAGCATCAGGCTCTGTGCTCAGCACAGAGTATGCTTGTCCCTCTCCCTCCACCCGCTTGCACTCTTGCTCTCTCTCAAATAAATAAAATCTTAAAAAAAAAAAAAAAAAACCTCAAAATGGATTAAATACCTAAATGTGAGACCTGAAACTATTGAACTCCTAAAAGAAAACACAGGCAGTAATCTCTTGGATATTAGCCTTAGCAACATCTTTATATGTTGCTGTATGTCTCCTCAGGCAAGGGAAACAAAAGGAAAAATAAGGTATTGGGACTAAATCAAAATAAAGAACTTTATATGGTAAAAGAAGCCATCAACAAAATGGAAAGGCAACCTAATGAATGGGAGAAGATATTTGCAAAGGCATGTTATTCTCTTCTGAAAATAAAAGAGGATACATTTTCAGATTTGCTTCACAACGTTTTTGTTTTCCCAAAAAAATCATTTTAATTCTCATATATTGTAAGCCTATGTAAAATTTTAAGGGGTTAATACCCAAAATATATAAAGAAATTCTATAACTCAACAGCAAAAAAACCCAAATAATCCAATTAAAAATGAGCAGAGGACCTGAGTAGACAATTTTCCAAAGAAGATACATAGATGGTGAACAGACACATGAAAAGATGCTTAATGTCACTAATCATCAGGGAAATGCAAATCAAAACCATGAGATATCACCTTATAACTATTAGAATGGCTAAAATCAAAAAGACAAGAAATAACAAGTGTTGCCGAGGATGTGAAAAAAAAAGGAACCCTTGTGCACTGCTGGTGGGAATGTAAATCGGTGCAGCCACTCTGGAAAACAGGATTGAGGTTCCTCAAAAAATTAAAAATAGAGTTACCATATGATCCAAAAGAGCAGTCCAAAAAGAACAAAACAGAGTTATCTTCAAAGAAATTACACTTTTATCTAGGAAATAATAAATTTTAAAAAATTAACAAATTTAATTATCTGATAACAACAACTATGCTACTAAACTGCAAAATAAAAGTTAAAGAAGATACATTCAGCCAATAAACACATAAGATGCCCTCAAGGCACAAAAATCATTGATTGAGAAAATTTTTTTTCATTCTATACTAGATTTCAGCCCACTATATCACCTATTTAGTTATCCTTTTCCTAAAATTAATAGAAAAGGAAAGAAAACACAAATGAATGAAATAAAAATAAACAGAATATCTCAATAAGAAAGCAATTTCTTTAGGAAAGCATACATTTGCTAGGACACTAAAAGAAAAAATGTAATAAAGGAATATATGTCTCTTTCCAATGGAGATTTTCAAATTAAAAATTTATAGTCAAATACAACTGTGAACTAAATTATAGAAGTTAAAGGACAGATTTAGTCCAAAGAAAAACTAACATAGAATTCACTATATAGGAATGCAAATGAGTACAGAAAATTCAAACACTGAATTTCTAAACAATTTAGACATGAAAGTTTCTATTGCTTTTGTAAAAAAAATAATTTAAAAAACCCAAACCTGCCATATTCGTGTAAGTCCGTGTTCTAATTTCTTTTTTATGTAGCCACGATCAAAATCAGTTTCTTCAGTACCCATATTACTCCCTTCTGAAAATACAAGAGGATACATATTTTCAGATTTGCTTCACAACATTTTTGTTTTCCCAAAAAAAAAAAAAATCATTTTAAAATACTCTCATATATTGTAAGCCCATGTAAAATATAGAAAATATGTTCAATATTTATACAATCAAAACAATGTCAAAAATAAGTGTTAGGATTAAACGCATTTGATACATAAACTTAAGACTGTGAAATGTTAAGTATTTTACACCTAAGACCACTCAGTACATATGCGATTGGAGCTGGGATTCCAAGTTGGATAATGTGATCCCAGAGACCGGGTTCTCAATGACTTATATACTGCCTACTGCCGGGGCATTACCGGACCCATTAACCTAATTATCAGTTAATGTGCATGTTAACAAGGGTACAGACTGCAGAACTGCTCATGCAGTAAGGTAATGATGCACATGTTTTATATCTTTCATGATCCAGAATAGTCTAACAAAGAATCTAACAATGTCCAGTTCAACAGGTGAGAGCAATGACCTGCTTGAAAACAAATTTCCCCCTAAAAGCAACTGAAAATACACATATATACATTTATATTAAAAAGATTATGCCTTTTTTTGAATAAACTGTGGAACAACTGAGAATACTATTTCACCTTAGGCTAGCAGGGTGAGCACTGGTAACCAGCAAAAGGCCCTTGCATAGGCCAGGCCCCATATTCATGCCTAGTGTACCTCTGACCACTCCTACAGCTTAAGCTTTATTATCTGTATGGTCTGGCTATTAGGGACCCAGCAGCTCAGGGCAGTGCACCTGGATGACAGCTTTAGAGTTTTCTTTTAGAATGGTAAAGCGTTAGGATGCCAGCAGTATCACTACAGAGCTACAGCAGACAACCTCTTGAGCCCCTATCAGCTTTATGGCGTTCTGGGAAGAAAAAGGTTCAAATTACTGACTCCTACAATTGTATTCCTTAATGTGAATATGAAAGGATTAATTGCAGGTGAACAAATGACTTTTTCAAGTTCAATATATTGTCAGATGTTAGGCTAATCAAGGTCCTGAATATTCTTTAGATATCCAGAATCAGGTCAAGGAATTTTAGCAAAGAGTACTAATAAGTATATAAGGCTCAGTGTTTTAAGTTTGACTTTACACCCCAATGAAAATACATACATAGACACAACAATACATGCAAACTATGAGCCTGAAGCAAAAAAGCAAACTTCACTATGATGAGTATGTATCATCCCCTAAACTCTTATATTTCAAGTGTGTATTAATATTGTTCCAAACTTTCTCTCTGGTTTCTCCCTAAATAATGTACTAGAAAAGGGAAAAGAGGTGCTGAAATGTCTTAATAGTTTCTGCATCTAGAAAAAAATAAAAGTTGCCCAAACAGAATAAACTTGTGAAGGTCTGGTGTCCCAGTAATCCCATCAATTCCCTAAGTAAACTGAGATTAAAAAAAAAAAAAAAAAAAAAGGCCTGTGGACATTTCGTCATCATTATCATCATTATTATCTCTTGACCCATTTCCTTTGACATTAACAACAACCAGTGTAAGCACGTTACATTATCCTTAAACTTTACAGCAAATCTACGGGTACATGCGTTACTACCCTATGGAGCTGTTTGTTTGCTTTGATTTTTTAACCTCCCACTTTAAGAAGGACGCTGAGGCCTGGAGAAGATAAACTTCTTCACATTCTCATCTTTGGAAAATGGCAGTCAAAAATCTAAAGCGGGTATCTCTGACTGCAACACCCGTGCTCACACGGGTAGTACAGGGATGAGAGTACAGGAGTTGGGTAAGAACAGTCTGGCCTAGAAACCTGGCCCCCTCTTCTCTGCTTTCTCCTCCTCCCTTCCTTTACCATCCCCCCAGCAATATTCCTAAAAGGATGAAAATCCTTCTATAGAATCTTCCTCTGTTATTTTTTGCTATCTATATTTACTATCTATATTTATAAACTTCTTATGAGTCAAGAAAAATATTAAACTTATGCCTTCTATACTATAAGAATCCTACAATACGATTTGTGTTCTTCCACGCACCCAAACACAGAAACCAAACACCTCAGAAATTAGAAGTTACTAAAATAATTTGATTGACTAGCTACATTAAATTGTATGCAATACAAAAAACCTGTGCAGTATAATTTATTTTGCCCATATTAAACAGAATGCTGATAAAAACATTTATTACTTTTAAAAGTATTTTGAATACTTAATCATATTGTTCAAGGATGATCACTTAAGATATAATTATACAAATGAAGTAAGTTAAATATAATGTCTAGTTAATAATTCCTCAAAGATCTGTTCTTTATGTAGCTGACTATACCACAGTCATTTAAAGTTGTGTTTTCCATTCAAATATTAATATTTTAAAACCTTTTTATAAAATTTTAAGTCCTGCTGTGTTTTCATAGGAAGAAAAGTATAATTATGATTTTTTTTCAATATTTTATTTATTTGAGAGAGGGAGAACGTAAGTGGCAGGAGGGGGTGCAGAACCCAACATGGGGCTCGATCCCAGGACCCTGAGATCACGACCTGAGCCAAAGGCAGACACTTAACCTACTGAGCCACCCAGGCACCCCAGAAAAATATAATTATTAATTCTTAGAATCTAGCTTTATTAGTACAACTTGCAAATTAGCAAATAGATTTAATATTAAACATTAGCATTAATTTTACAGTAAATTGGACAGACCAATGTCTTACCTAGTTTGCAATTAATTTTTTAAAAGCCCTTTGTTAATAATTTAGTCCTAAAGCCATCACCACATATTCCTGAAAGCTGGTAATATCTATCACTTAAGAAGTCCTTTGGCCCAGTTAATCCCCAAAGTTAATGGAGCTTTTATAGACACTGAATGACTTTCTTCAGTGAATATTTAACCTATGGGTCACTAAAGTTCCTGAAATGGCTATCCCTTTTCTTTCTCCTTATTCCAGAAATATGGCATATTTATAGTTGTTTTTAAAATAAAATAATTTCCTACCAGAAGCAGAAGTAGTATCCTCATTGTCATGTTTTTCATGCCATTCCATAGTCCTGTAATAGCTGAGCATAACTTCCCACAGTGCTTTGCACAGGTCAGCAAGGCATGGAATATAGCTGTCTGGTGTAACATGCTGAAGAAAATGAGCAAAGTCAACTTTAAAAATTATCACAACTTGGAAATCAATCCATTATGTCATTTGTGTAACTTAAGTACCTTTGACAATCTCTAAATTCTAGAAATCACATGGATATTATAGATATTCCATATCTATTAATAACATTTTAAAATAATGTTTTATATAACATAACTATGAAACAATATGTAGTCTCAAATCTCCCTAATGAAAATGAGTATCTTTTCCCCCCCTCTATCCTTTGTATAAACTACCAGCTTGTCATTCTGCCCTCTAACTGTGGGTAGAGTGATGCCTCCATTCTATTTTGCAGGCTGTCATAATGGAGCATTTGCTTCATCCTTTGAGATTTCATAGCATTTCTTCCTTTTGTAATCAATCTACCACAATCAATCATGCCAATAAAACACTAAAAGGCTAGTAAGACTGGTATATACTAAGCCCTCCAAAGTGAAGAGCTAGTAGAAATAAGCTACATAGCAAATATGGCTATGGTGTGATTGATGCTTAAGATAGCACAGGTTGGTAGTGGTCCTCTCTCTTTCAAAACATTTTTTCCCTCCTCTAAGCTCCATGTTTATTAAAACATTCATCAAGCAATTAATAAAAACATGAACTCGTATGGCTCAGTTCACTTTTGTGCAAGCAAGTCAAATCTCTGAAACTCAACTAGGAAGTAGTAAAATAAAGCAGTTGTTAAGCTCTGGAGTCAGACTACCTGAGTTGGGTTTATGCCAAGAATAGCAGGATGGTTTAATCTAAAAAAATCTATTAATATAATTCACCATATTAACAGTCTAACAAGAAAAACCAAATGATTATCCTAACAGATGCTGGAATAAACCTTTTGACAAAATTCAACAGCCGTTCCCAATAGTAACTCATAAAAAAATTAAAATGGATGGATATTTCTTTAAGATAAGGAAACTAAGGCAATACCCACTGTGGTCAGGAACAAGACAAGGATGCCTACTATCCCCACCACTATTTAACAATGTTCTGGAAGTATTAGCCAATGTTATTAGACTAGAGAAAAGAGTAAGAAGCAAATAAACAGGAAAAGAAGAAATCAAATAATTTCTATCTGCAAATAATAATAATATATCTAGAATATAATTCTTAGAGAATCAATAATAAAACTAACTCAAACAAAATAATTTAGCAAGGTAGCAGGTCACAAAATTAATGCAAAAAACAAAAGCATTCATATATACAAATAATAATCCATTCCTCATACCATACACAAAAATAAGCTCCAAATGGATAAGAGATCTAAATAAAAAATAAAACTGTACTAGCACTAGAAGAAAACTTGAGTTAATTCTTCTCTCAGCTTGATACAGGGAAAGTCTAACTACGACTCAAAATTCAGAGGTAATAAAATGTAAAATTTGATACATTTTAGTACATAAATTTTTTTTTTTAAGATTTTATTTATTTGACAGAGAGAGACACAGAGAGAGAGGGAACACAAGCAGGGGGAGTGGGAGAGGGAGAAGCAGGCTTCCCGCCGAGCAGGGAGCCCGATGCGGGGCTCGATCCCAGGACCCTGGGATCATGATCTGAGCCGAAGGCAGATGCTTAACGACTGAGCCACCCAGGCGCCCCAGTACATAAAAATTTTAAAAAAGAATTTACATGGCAAAACGAAACACCATAAGCAAAGTCAAGACAAATGACAAACTTGAAAAAATATTTACAACATATATCACAACAAAGTGTTAATATCCTGCATCTATAAAGAACTCTTAAAAGTTTTGGGGAAAAAGACCAAACATCCTATATAAGAATGGGAAGAAGTCACAAGCAAACTGCACAAATAGAGATACAAAAATGGCCATTAAACCTATGAAAACATGTCCAACTTCATTCATTAATAGGACAAATGAACATTAAAACTACAATAAGACACAAATTCTCACTCGTCAGATTGGTGAGAATTTTAAAGCTGACTATTAACAAAGATTTTCTCCTTGACCAAACTCTAGCCAAGATCCTCTAAGCTCTCTTTTCAACTAGGCCTCATTCTTGGCCTATAAAAACCTGAACAAAACACTAACATAGTTTCTAACAGCCCAAGGCTGCATCCCTAGGATGACGCTAGTCCCCATTAAAGTGCCTCTCTGAGAAAACTCAAGCCTGCCAAAAGAATTTACTGTCTGTTCCAGGTAACACCTGAAGATAGGGCCCCCATCTCCCAGCCTCTGAGGGAGAAAGTGGGAGTCTAACTTCAATAAGCCCAGTTAGCAAACCCAGATGGGCTTCACAGGGACTAACCCCCACTTCCTGTTTTCTGCAATTTTTCATTCCCTGACTCTGAGCCCTGCCTCATCTCCCTCTCTTTAAAACATCCAGTCATCTCTGTACAAATGCAAGTTGAGCCTGGTTCACATTGGATTCTTTTCCCTATTTCAACAGGATATTACTAGTTAAAATCTGTCCATACAACTTTAATTTAGTATTTGGCTTTATCTTTGACACTCTATTCTGTTGTCGAGGCTGTGAAAAAGCACCCACTGTCATACATTGCTGGTGGGAATGAAAAATGACATAACCCTACGGCAGGGAATTTGGCACTGTTTAACAAAACTACATGTGTTTGTTCCCTTTGACCCAGCAATCCTACTTCTAGGAATTTATCCTGAAGATACCACTCAAACAATGTGAAAATATATATGCACAAGGTTATTCATTGTGAAGGATTATTTGTAACTGCAAAATACTGGAATCTATCTAAATGTCCAAACAGGAGATTGGTTGAATAGACTACTGTTCATACACACAAAAGAGTACTACACAACTATGAAAAATAATAAGCTGATACATGCATATTTAAATTTTTTTAATTAAAAAAAAATTTCTCCTGGTAACCATCTGTTTGTTCTCTATAGTTAAGAGTCTGTTTTTTGGTTTGTCTCTTTTTTTCCTTTGTTCGTTTGTTTTGTTTCTAAAAGTCCACATAATTTTTTTCTCTGACAGACATATTTCACTTAGCATTATATTCTCTAGCTCCAACCAGGAGGGGAGGTGGGTGAGGGGATGGGTAAAATAGGTGAAGAGGATTAAGACTACATTTATCTTGGGGGTGCCTGGGTGGCTCAAGCAGTTAAGCATCTGACTCTTGGTTTTGGCTCAGGTCATGGGATTGAGCCCGCATGAGGCTCCACACTGGGCGGGGAGCCTGTTTAAGATTCTCTCTCCAGCTCCCTCACGCTCTTCCTCTCAAAAAAAAAAAAGAGTACACTTATCTTGATGAGCACTAAGTAATGTATTAAATTGTTGAATCACTATGTTGTACACCTAAAACTAATATCATACTGTATGTTAATGATACTGGAATTAAAATTTTTTTACTTTAATTTTATTATGTTATGTTAGTCACCCTACAGTACATCATTAGTTTTTGATGTAGTGTTCCATGATTCATTGTTTGCATATAACACCCAGTACTCCATGCAACACGTGCCCTCCTTAATACCTGGAATTAAAATTTTTTAAAAATTTTTTTAAAAATTTCCCCTTCATGACATACATATATGATAAAGGGAAAAATTTTAAATTATATGTATAACATATAAGTTACATATACAATATAAAAAATATATATCTAAAATTATACATGGCATAAGAAATAGAAAAAATTTAATGCATATATCTGATATCATCACAAAAATAAAGAGAGAAGATAAACAAGAAAATATTGAAGTTAGTTATCTTTACAAGGTGGGGTTGGGGATGAAATGGAAGAAATGTAAGAGGAAGTGACACTTCTCTAAACATACCACATTGGCTATAGGTACATATTCAGAGAAGAATTAGAATGACCATCCAGATTTACACACGGCTGGCAGAGATGAATAAAAAATATTTTTCCACACTTATAATCTGGAGTAACTTTTTATGTTTACATGTCATGTTTACTTTTGTAATTACCACCTTTACAATGAACCAGTCTTGATTTTTTCCCCTCTTGGTTTATCTTTATCCCATCACTACGTATCCCTTATAGCACACTCATGTAACTTGATACTGATGCACAAGGTCAGGAAAAAGCTAAAAGCAGAAGGCAAAGAAAAGAAAAAAATCACAAAAATGTTCTGGGCTGCAACTCCCAGCAATCATTCACCTGAATAAAGGTACTCTTTTACAAGTCAATTTTTTTTCACCTTCATAAACTCAACTTTACATAAATTTATATTTATATTATGCAAATAAATTTAATCTAATTATATCCCAACATTCTTTCGGGTAGATAAAAGGAAGACAGTGTTAGTCTTATTTCTTCCCAAAGAAAAATTATGACTATACAAATAACTGTGTTATAGTTCACCAATTAATTTTTATTATACTTGTCACAGTTTAACAAACCAGAAAATTAAATCTTAGAACTACTACTACCTTCTATTTTCTACCCAGACGCTGTCTAGTTACATTATTTGCCTATTTATTCGAGGAAAAGGAGGTTCTTTACTATGTTACCTCTTGATGATTTGCTGAAATGTAATGGGTTTGGATGAGATACACAAAGACATATATGTAAATTCTTTTCCAAAAAAAAGTTGACATTATTGAAGCTATAGCAAGCTTTTTCTCACCAAACTGATCCAAGTGTAAATAATTCACAAATCTAGTCAAACCACTGCACATGCCTGAAAGTCTTCCAAAAGAATATAAATTGCATTATCTTCACAAATATGTTCATATGTACAAACATAAGACTATGACGTACTGAGCACCAGATAACAAGATGACTCTTGCCTAAATTTATATTCTAAAACAGAAACAAATGTAGAGATTCTTTGTACTAGATACATATGCAGTAAATAGTTTAAGGACAGAGGGCAAGGTGGGAGAGAGAAAAAATACTGTTTTTAATACATTTAAGCCCAGATATGTTAATTTCTGCACGTGAAGACCATGCTGGCAATAAGTTAAAAGAGTCCTTTCATTTTAAAACTGGACTCCAAAAACCACTTTTCTCTGTACCATGCAACCAA